TTTGCCGGGCAGCCTCCAGACCCTGCGCCCCCAGCTGGGCGCTTCCCCTCCCGGGCTCCAGCTGCGCTGGGGAAGCGCTGGCCGGGGGCGCAGGGTCTGGGGGCTGCCCGGCAAACCGTGAAGCCGGTAGCACTCGGGCAGCCCTTTTCGCGTGGCTGGGAGTGGGAAGGAGGAGGGGGCGGAGTTAGGGCGGGGCTGGGGTGGGGAAATGGGCGGGGCCAGGGCCCCGTGGAGAGTCCTCTTTTTTTATTTGTTAAATATCGTAACCCTAGGAGTACCGAAATCAATTTTAAGAGCCCTTTAAGTCGACAAAAATGGCTTCCTCGTGTGGACGGGTGCAGGGTTAAATGGATCTAACGCTGCTAAATTCTACCTAAACTCCAAGTGTAGACCGGGGCTCAGGTTCAGAGGGAGGACTGGGTAGCTGAGTCTGCAGAGCAGGACAGTTGTGTAGTTAATCTCTCGAGAATGCAGGGGAGGGCAGGTACGCTCTCACCTCTAGACACTTTGGATATAACTTGTAGTCTCTCAGTGGACTTAACATCTGATCCCATGTGGAAGCAGAGGTTGTTAAGGGAAGGACAACAGAATTTTGAATCTAGCTTGTTATTGAAAATGAATGGTAGCTCTTTAAGACAAAGTCCAGCCTTGGAAATAGCAGCAGTTAAGGATCTGAAAACTGGTGAACTGGCTCCTGTCTGTGGTAATGCAAATTACCTGACTGACTGGGAGAAGAAAGACTTGCTAATAGCTGTTAGCACAGAGAACACACCCAATCCACCAGTGAATTCTCTTAAGCAAGAGAAATCAGGGTTTAATCCTTCAGGACAAGGAGGAAAGAGAGAACTTACTTTTGCGAAGGGAAGCCACAGGTTAACCCTAAAAGTCCCAAACCCCAATGGTATTGAGCCAAAGGTGTGGCATGACAAACATGATTGTAAATGGACACTTGCAATGAATTTGTTGTTATTGCTAATGGTAATGTGTTGCTATTACTAAGAATTGTAAAAATGTACAATGTGCCTAATCTTTTGGAAAATCCCTTGAACATATTAAGAGTAATGCATAAAAACATACTTTATGTTAAAACGCTTTGTTATATTGATGTTTCACAGTTAATGCTTGTAAACAGTACTGGAATTTTTCACAGGGGAAAAAAATCCCAAACCTAATGTGCTGTATGAAAAGGGAAACTGAGGCACACTACCATATGGCTTGCATGGCTAAATGCCAAGATTTCTGTACTACGAACAACATTAATATCTACATTGATTTGATGTTAATTGGGTTCCAAACATTTGCCAGAGCTTGTATGAATAAAGTAGCTGTTTTCTTTAGCCTGGTTGGTCGGGGAGAGCGGGCGCTGGCCGGGCTCGCCGCCCACCCCTTGGCGCTCTGGCCGGTCGGGGAGAGCGGAGCCGCGGCGGGCTCGCCGCCCTCCCTCGGCACTCCTGCTGGCCAGGGAGAGTGGGCCCGTGGCCGGGCTCGCCGCCCTCCTCCCGGCGCTCCGGCCGGCCGGGGAGAGCGGACCCATGGCCGGGCTCACCGCCCTCCCATGCCGCGCTCCCTGCCGGGGGGGGGCTGCAGGAGGCTTTTTTGCCTGGGGCGGCAAAAAAGCCAGAGCCGGCCCTGGCTGCACGTAAACAACGGCCAGGCAATTTGCCTCAACCTCCCATCCCATCATAAACATCTCCCCCTTACTCTCACAGATATTATGGCGCACACAGCAAGCAGTAATAATGATGGGAATATTGGTTTCGTTGAGTTCTAACTGAGTCAGTAAACTGCACCAGCGAGCTTTTAAACATCCAAAGGCTCATTTTACCACCATTCTCCACTTGCTCAGCCTATAGTTGAACTGCTCCTTACTACTGTCCAGGTTTCATGAGCCATGGGTGCAAGGGGTAGGTGTGACCACACTGTGCTGCCGACTGGGAGAGCAGCCTGAGGCAGAAGCCTCCAGCTGGCATGATATTCCAGCATTGGTCTGCTAAACCCAGGGTTGTGAGTTCAATCCTTGAGGGGGCCATGTAGGGAACTGGGAAAAAAATTTGTCTGGGGATTGGCCCTGCTTTGAGCAGGGGGTTGGATTAGATGATCTCCTGAGGTCCCTTCCAACTCTGATGATCTATGATTAATCAGGGAGGACTGAATCTCCATTGGACAAAAATTAAAGAAGAGAATGACCTGGAGTCATTCCTATTTTTGTCCAGGCACCCCCGACCGAAAACTCACAGAGGCCAACCAGGAGCACCCATGTCTGCCCAGGCGCCCCCGACCAACCTAACCGAGGTCGGCCAGGAGCACCCGCGGGACGATGACGATGGTTAGCAGTCGTATTGTACCATCGGCCAGCCGCAAGGCAAGGCAAGGGGATACTGCTGTGTAGCACTACAGTACCGCATCTGCCAGCAGCACCCACGAGACATACAGTGACAATGAGCTGAGCGGGCTCCATGCTTGCCGTGGTATGTCGTCTGCACGGGTAACCCAGGAAAAAAGGTGAGAAACGATTTTTTGCTGTTGCTTTCATGGAGGGAGAGAGCGAGGGGGGCCTGATGACATGTACCCAGAACCATCCACAACAAAGTTTTTGCCCCATTAGGCATTGGGAGCTCAACCCAGAATTCCAATGGGCAGCGGAGACTGTGGGAACTGTGGGATAGCTACCACAGTGCAATGCTCCAAAAGTCGACGCTAGCCTCCATACTGTGGATGCACACCGCCGACTTAATGTGCTTAGTGGGGACACACACAATCGACTGTATCAAATCGATTTCTAAAAAATTGACTTCTATTAAATCGACCTAATTTCGTAGTGTAGACACACCCTGAGACACAGACTGTTTACTTATGGAATCAGCATGGAGACGTTCCTGTTCCAACACCATTGTCTTTCCAAAAAGCTGGCCAAACAGAGCCACTTGGTTATAGGGCTGTTTAAATTCCTTAACAGCTTTTACTCCATCCGAGACCTTCTCTAAGCCATCCACACTGAATCTTTCAAAAGGAAAGTCAGTGAATCCATTTACAACAGAAAATTTCTGGCTGTTGGGAAGTGAAACTTTCTTGACTAAATCACTTTCACACCCTTCGGCTACAGGAAACTGCTTGCACCAATTACCATGAGGATTCCTTTCCCAAGGAACGTCTTTAAGCAACAATTCACCCCTCACAGAAATTTTGCCTTTATCCGCTTCACCTAGGTCTTGCTCTAAAGGTTGAAATTGAGTCAATTAACCTGCAACTTGCTTAACCCTTTCTGGCCCCGTGTCACAGAAGTTTAGAGCCTGTGTGGATTCTCCCATGTTTAATGAGATGTGATCATTGGCTGAAACTTTTCCCACAGTTCAAGCATTTGTGGGGTTTCTCTGATATTTAGCCAGGGATGATCGCCATGTGAAACTTTTGCCAGAGTCCAAGTACTTTTGAGGTCTCTCTCCTCTGTGGATTGCCTGATGTTTAACAACCACTGATCTCCATGGTAAACTTTTCCCACAGTACAAGCACTTGTGGGGTCTCTCACCTGTGTGACTTCTCTGATGTGAAATTTGTACTGACTTAAAACTGAAACATTTCCCACACTCAAGGCATTGATAGGGTTTCTCTCCAGTGTGGCTTCTCACATGTTTATTAAGATCTGAACACTTATTGAAGCTTTCCCCACTGTACAAGCATTGAAGGGATTTGGCTCCAGTATGGATTGTCTGAAGTGTCACAAGCTGTGATCTTAGAATTAATCCTTTCCCAAATTGGAGGCAGTGCCTGGGTGTCCCTTCCTTGGGATTTTTCTGCTGGGCTCTGGGATCTTTGTCTCCTCCCCACAGATAATAGAGTCATCCACTTTCTTCCCTGGGTGGTTGCCCAGCAGACTCTCTGACCTGTGCCAATTTCCTCAGGCTTCTCCCTGTTCCAAGCACTGGGGAAAATTAACTGCATCTCTTCCCACAAATGTCCCTTGTGGTTCCACTTCCCCAGGAACTTTCTGATGATGATACCCCTCCTTGTACTCACTCCCTCGCTCAGCACCTGCTGGGAGAGAGAGACAATCAAGACAGGAGACATTGTGCTGGGACCAGGAATAGGACCAAAGGGAAACCCAGCACAATGAAGTTGCAAAGACTGAGCAATTGGATTCTGCCTCCACATCCCACCCAAACTTTCACAGCGAAGGGAAGTTGGGAAGAAAATGCCTGCCGCTAATAGGGTGGATGGAAAGTCATGAATTACATCTGCTAAGTACAGCTGGCCATGGGTGAGATGAGGCACAACTAAGGACGCTTGCTCATAGCATATTTTTGGGATTCTCAACTTTTTCCTTCATTCCCCAGATGGTTTCTGTGCAAAGCCATCCACTATTTCCTGCACGTTACCCAGAGTCACGGTTCTTCTGAGTAGGATGCGATTAATGGCCTTGCAAACTTGCATCAACATGATTCCAACGGTCGACTTTCCCACTCCAAACTGGTTTGCGACCGACCAGTAGCTGTCTGGAGTTGCCAGCTTCCAGATTGCAATAGCCACCCGGTTCTCCACTGGCAGGGCAGCTCTCAATCTCGTGTCCTTGTGCCACAGGGTGGGGGCGAGTTCCTCACACAGTCCCATGAAAGTGGCTTTTCTCATCCGAAAGTTCTGCAGCCACTGCTCGTCATCCCAGACTTCCATGACGATGTGATCCCACCACTCGGTGCTTGTTTCCCGAGCCCAGAAGCGGCGTTCCACGGTGCTGAGCATATCCGTGAATGCCACAAGCAATTTCGTGTCGTACGCGTTACGCGGCTCGATAGCATCGTCGGACTCCTCACCCTCACTCTCACTGTCACTTTGGATCTTAAGCAATAGTTCGACAGCCAAACATGACGTGCTGGCGAGACTCAGTAGCATACGCCTCAGCAGTTCAGACTCCGTTTCCCGCAGACAGATCGCGCTGCACAGAAACCGTTGAAAGATGGTGCCAAAGGTGGATGGAAACAAAGGGATTTCTGGGATGCGAAGTGATGCATCACGGGGCGTTGGGACCGGACCCAGAATCCCCCGCACCCACGCCCCCTTCCGACAACCCATGGTGCCAGAATGGGAAAAGGTGCTCTGTGGGATAGCTGCCCATAATGCACCGCTCCCAATAGTGCTGCAATTGCCACAAATGTGGCCACGACAGTGTGCTGGGCAGCTGTCAATGTGGACAGACTGCAGCGCTTTCCCTACTCAGCTGCACGAAGTCAGGTTTAACTCACAGCACTGTACATCTGCAAGTGTAGCCAAGGCCTGATGTTGCTGTGTCGTTTGGTAAGTTCCTGAGTGTCTGGCTAGTCGCACTCAGTACAGTGCAGCCAGGAGTGACTTTGAAGGCTGGTGGCCTCTCGAGATCTCTCTTTCCTCACAGGCCTGGAGATTGGGCACCCACGGCTCTTCCCCTTGCTCCAGCTGGGAGATCATGTCAGGGTTTGGGAATGGGCAATCCTGTGCAGAGGGTGAAATCAGACCAGATCAGGGTGCATGGATATTGAGAAAGTGTCTGTCACAAAGGACATTCTGTGAGTGGAACTTGTTCCTGTGCTCTGCTGGGCTATCATGGAACCCAAGAGGATGAGAACATGATCACTGTGCCCCCTTGGGAGGAGCAAATGTCTGGGGGAGTGGGGAGAATTGTTACACCCTAACTAGGAGTTCCCAGGATCTGTGCACTCTGGGGGCCTTGCTGACGCACGCACAGCTCTGGAGTTAAACCCCTGCCTATTTTTAAACCTGCAGAGCCCACAGCCCACCCCATGGCTGGAGCTAGTCCCCAGAAGGGAGGTGAACAGGGATTCTGTACATCAATAAGAAACAACGCAGATAGGACAATTAACGACTTCTGCCCCCTTAAATGCTGGAGGGTGGGGATGGTTTAGCATGTCCTTTAGGTTTTGACACTGTGTCCCAATGAACGGGGTTTGGTCATAAATGTCTCTCTCACATGGCAGCTGTGCATTACGCAAAATATTCCCCTCTGATCTAACTGACCAGGGAAGAACCTGACCAGATTCAAATATGCAGACCCCACAGCTTCTAATAACCGAGGGGACGGGAATCCCTTACCCAGTGAGGTCACCATCTTGTAATTCTTCTACATGTCATCCCTGTAGAGGGCTCTCTGAGTAGGGTCCAGCAAAGCCCCCTGCCCCTGGGTGAAATACACAGCCTCGAAGGTCACCGGCATCTGGAACAACAAAAGTCCCCCATAAGTTAGGGGAAAGGGGAAAAAAATTGGAAGCTCTTGGAGAGCCAGAGTCACAGAATCCCACCCCCACTCTGCTCAGAGCAGCCAGGAGGGAGAAGATGAGAGCTCCTTTCTCCCCCCAGCAGACAGAGGAGGGCAGGAGCTTCTCTTTTACCATACTCCTACCAGACAGAGTGGGAAATGGTGCACGGAGCAGGGGACAAAGGACTGGAATCCCAATAGCTTCCCTTCATATTTCACAGCAGCCTCTGGCCAGTGGGGTCAGGCTCCAACACTGGGAGTCTGCTCAGTTTTCCCAGCCCTGCCGAAGGGGGTGTTTCATTTCAGAAATGGGACCATGTCTCTCCGCTCCCCCGTCCCCCAGCAATAAGTCTGTTTGGTAAATCAGGCCCAGGGTGAACCTGTTCCAGCAGATTTATCACACCCTGTCCTCTCCCTGCCGCATGCAGTGTGTTTCCTGCCCCTCCCCCTCCAAAACAACCCCCCTGCAGCTCCCTGAAAATCCCCTACCTGAGCTCGCTCCTACACAGCCATTTCTCATCCCTCTCTCATGGGAAGACGGGAGGATTTGGACTGCAACCTGGATGTGATTCTTCAGACTGTCAGGGCAAGAAGGGCGATTGGGGAGTTTACAGGAGCTTGATTCCACTTCACACCCCAACTCTCCCCAGGCTCTCTCCCTTACTCCTGGGAGAATTCTGTGCCACTGCCCATGGACTGAATTTATATCCCCCACAGATTTATTTGTTTTCCAGCAGAAAAAGGACTTTCTGACGGGGAAGCAAAGGGAAGCCACAAAGCAGTCATGAGGCCCGACTCCAGCAGGACGTTTCTGGTGCCCAGGGCAGCCGGCAGAGAGGTCAATCACTGTGGGATGGGTAAGGTGGTTCCTACCCTGTGCCGGGCTCAGTTGCTAGTCCTGCCTGGGCTGGGGAGGACAGGACTTCCTATTCCTTGGCATGGCATGTGGGGCCGAGTCAGACCCACCCCCAGATTTCTCCCCTCCTTGCATGAAGCTAAGAAAACACATATACACCCCTCAGCTTCTTGCACTCATCTCTCCTCAGCTGCAGGAAGAGGGATGACTGTACAGGGAGCTGTTCCCCCATCGACCCAACCCCCTCACACCCAGACCCTCCCGCTGAGTTTCACCCTCCCCCGCACTCAGAACACTCCTGACAAGCCCCACTCCCCCTGCACGTGGACCACTATGATGAGCCACCTGCACTCGGATACCCACCCTACTGAACCCCACCCAGATGCACCTGGATCGCAACCCCTCCCCCAGAAGCTGCCACCTCCACATCCAGACCCCCCCGCTAAGCTCTATCCCCCCCACCCCCCCCCCCCCCCCCCC